CAGCCTGAAAGTTGGACCATCAGGGTTCACTTCAGGTCTCATTCCACGATTTTCTGACTTGGACACAGCCCTCCTCACTCCTTCACTCACGATCACCATGAGCCAGACCGGCAGCGACTGCGGGAGTCCTCCCATCCCGACTCCTCCTGACTCGCCGCAGTCCACAGCCAGCCACCAGTCGCGACACTCTACGATCTCACGTCGCTCGCAGTCCCACACTTCAGATCGGGATCGACGGTTGGCCACGTTGGAGGACGAGTTGCCCCAGAGCAACCTCACTCGAGATCGCCTCGTCCGAGACCGGGATCATCTCGATCTGCAAGTCTACCAACTGCGATCCAACATCCGCGACATGGAGGCGTTCCAGCACGGTAAACGAGACGAGATCACTCGACTTGAGACCGAGATCTCAACTCTCACCCACGCTATGGGTAACGATCCAGAAGATCTCCACACCCAGGTCCTTCAACTCCGCACCGGAAGGAACGACTTCGAACGTCACGCCATATCCGCCCGTGAAGACCTTCACAACGTAGAGACCGATCGTGATCGTCTGCGACTAGAAGCTGTTCAAGCCGGGGACGAGATCCGAGACCTGCAGGCGCAGATCAGCAGTCTGGAGCGCGAGACTGACGATGCGAGGTACGAATTTGCCACCGCTCTCGCTAGCTACAACCGAATCTTCTCCAACCTCACCCGCTCGCAGCCGGATCGTGGGAGGGACCCGTCACCCAGCCGCTCCACTCGTCACATCCAGACGCAACGCGATCGCGCATTAGCGGCCCTGGCGCTCGCCCGGGTGAACTTAACACAGGTTACGTCTGATCGCGATCGAGCCTTCAAACAACTTGCCCAGGCCACCGAGGATCGAGATCGGGCACTCGGCGATCGCGATTCGACTCTCCGTCTCCGTGACCATGCCGTTGCCGAACGAGATCAAGGTCGCTTGGACCTTCTCACCGAGATTGCCCGCACGGCCCAGCTCGACGACGATCTCGAGGTGGTTCGCCCGGAGCTCCACGAGAGAGAGAGGGGCAGATGACAGATCTCCAGGTCGCCCACGACCAGCTCCCGAGTTGCGCGACCTGGCTGAGAACGATCTGAATGAGACCGACCTACTTCTCACACACCTCGCCAGCCGGATCCGAGAGAGTCAGGCGACGCGGATGCCGAAGCGTGAGCGAAGTCCACCCACTTCCCCGCCTCAATTTCCACCCCTCAAGGCGCTTCGCAGCGATCGTCCGGTTTCTCCGCCGCCAAACCAAGATCGGCCCGAGGTCGAGGGTTCGGAAGGGCAGAGGCACCAAGATCAGCCAGAGTTCGAGGGTCCGGATGACCAGGAGCATCAAGATCAACCAGAGATCGAGGTTCCAGACGACCAGGATCATCAAGATCAGCCAGAGTTCGAGGGTCCGGATGACCAGGAGCATCAAGATCAACCTGAGTTCGAGGGTCCAGATGATCAAGAGCTTGAGGATAAACGTGAGATCCCGGGCGGGGGAGGGGGAACCCTGGTGATCACGATTCCCCTCCTCCGGATCACGGCTCTACGACACCTCCTCCCTCGCCTTCACCGGGTCGCCGTCCCACGACTCCTCCTCCTTCACCTCCCCAGTCTCCTGGTGGTAGGCCAGGTGGTGGCTCTCCGAGGAGTGGTTCCCCAATCCAGCTACATCCACCGTTATTCCCTGCTGAAGCCAGTATTCCTCATTATTCTGATCTCAAGCTCTTCACGGCCGCCGAGATCTACCCATGGGACCCGATCATCATGGGAACAGTGCCGATCATAGCCATGATCCAAGCTACCCTGACGAAACGGATGCCGATCCCGATCAATTTCATGTTTCCCTACAGAGTCCCCCCTGTTCGTGCCCCCCAACCTGTAGTCGGATACTGCTCGGGGTTGATCACCGGCGCCAACGTTTTAGCTCTCATGGCGACCGAGCCGTGGCGCATGCTTCGCCGGCGTCGTCCCACTCCCTTGACCTTTGATCACAACCTTCATCGGTGGGCGCAAACCCCTCTATGGCGGATCACGGTGGGTTATGCGGCCCTGGAAGAAGATAACATGATCACGTACTGGGAATCGACTCATTATCTCAAGATCACGACTGCGATGACCTGCGCGGATGCAGATCTCTTCACCTATCATGCTGATCGGCGTCAGCGTCGGATCCGAGCCGGAGAGAGTTGGAGGAAGCTGTTGGGCGATGTTGTGTTAATGATGAGGGCTATGTGGGCTGACATCGACATCCTCCTGGATCCCTATTTCCTCCACCTGCCGACGAAGCAAGATCGCGCGCGTTGGTATCCCGGATCGGTCTCCCGGGCTGCCAATCTCGCGCAACCGAAAGCGAACCTCCCCGAGCCGATCGCCTTGATCACGGCCCGGATCGGTCTCCCGGGCTGCCAATCTCGCGCAACCGAAAGCGAACCTCCCCGAGCCGATCGACTTGATCACGGCCCTGTTCGAGTGTGATCAAGCGGATCCCTGGAGGAATCACTTCCGCGATCCCGGTTCTGTCCATCCGTCGCGAAATATCCCTCGCCTCGTGAACAAGTTCAATCCTCCGGTGCCCCCTCCGGCAGCCCCTTGATCGCCGATCTGGCTTCCACTCTTCGCTCCCCTCCGAGATCTCCGATTTCCTCTCCAACATCCCATTCCGTCCTGGTCGATCTCATAATTTCCTAATTCAGCCACATCTTCTGCTCGTTTGTTCTTTTCGTTGCCATTCTCAAGTGATCTCTCTTCTTGATCGTCCTGTTTTCCGTGATCTCTTGCGATGGCGTCTAGATACATACATACAACATGAATTCCCGATGTCGGTCTTGCTGACCGACATTTCCTCGGGGTCGAGGCGATCGGGTAACCTCCCCCGTCTTCCTTACATCTCTTCATGTGATTGCATCACATTGAAGCGGTTCCGATTAGCTCGTTCTCACAGGAAGGCGTTCAATATTCCCCGCAATTAAGATCGGCTTCGTCGACCCAGGTTGGCTTATCGTACCCTGTCCAATGAACCAAGAATTCCCGATAGACCCGACCAAATCGTGTCTTCTTCCCGCTCCGCATATCCGAAATTCGCTCGACTTCATACTCATCGGGCCCCAGATCTGGGACCCAGCGGTCCTCTGGAAGCAGGATCTCGTCAAAATCGAGACGATTCTCCCCATCAACCGTGAGTTCCACCCGTGGTCGATCTGGAAAGTCCTTGACCAATTTCAACTTCGACACGTGTACCACTGGAAAGATCTGGTATCCTGTACCTGCAATCTCGAGCTTGACGCTGAATTCGTTGATCTTTTCGGCGACCCGGAATGGCCCATGCCACAGGTGAGCCAATTTCCGCGCGTATCCTTCCTTCACCCGGTCTAGGTATAATCAGACGCAAGATCCTGCCTCGAGCTGGTGTGATCTAACGTCTTCATTATTTTGGCTTGCCCTGCAATGACTTCCTTCAATCTAGCGTTGACTTGTTCTCGGGATTGCTGATAGTATCGTTGGACTCGATATCGCCACCGCCGCGCGTCTCGATCACGCCGTCTCGTACATCCGACCGGCAGTGTAGCCTCCAATGTCGATCTCGGATCCCACCCATGTACCAAATAGTGAGGAGTATCTCCCCGGATCCGATCGTGAGCCGTGTTGATCGCGAAGGCGAGGCGCTCGGCATATTCGTCCCAATCGTTCTGATCCAGATCGCGGACGTACATCTTAAGCGCTCTGGTCGCGGTCTGCACCATTCTCTCAGCAGTCCCGTTAGCCTGTGGACGATAATCCATCGTCGCCCGCTGCCGCTGTCCCAGGATCTTGTTAAACGCCCGGAAGAAATCAGACATGAAGCCGGGTTCTCGATCATGTCGGATCATCTCGCTGGCACCGAATCGCCAAAATACGCACTCTTCGTACGATTCCGCAACCGTCTGGGCCGACCGGGACGAGCTAGCTTTCGCGATCACGTATCCTGTGAACAGATCGACCCAGATCACCAATTCTGTATTCCCCTTATGAGATCTGGGTAGCGACGGTATGTGATCCATCGCAATAATCTGGAACGGGTACGTTGCCTGCAAGTTCCCTGGTGACTCGCCCTGGATCACCGGTTTTCCTTTTCCCATTTCGCAATCCACGCATTCTCCCACATATCGCTGGACGCTCCGGTATAATCCTCTCCAATAGAAATGATCCCTGATCCGCTGGTATATTCGCCCCACTCCCTGATGTCCTCCTTCCAACGTGGTGTGATAGTGGTGTAAAACGTCCGACTGTAATGTTTCGGGGACTACCAATCTCATCAATCGGTCGCGATCGTCTCCCGATCTCGGGGCAGAGGGGTAGTAAAAGAGTAGATCCTGCTCATCTACCTCGTAGTCAGCCGCGATCTTGCTATACGATCTTGCTTCCGCTTGGGTGAGATCCGCGATCGAGCCACTCAGGTACTTCTTCATGCCGGCGATCCAGACTTCTTCCTCTTGGGCTTGCTTGATCCGAGGATCTCCCGGATCAGCTCTTCTTGCATGACCCCCGCCGGTGATCTTGCTCGACCAGCTCGGGTGGTCACCGCGGCAACTCGAACCATTGGATTCTCGGTCTTGGGGATCAAGATTTCGTCTAACCGGTTCAGAGTAACCGGATCCTGGTACCCGGGCGTCTCTTGGACCTCGATCCCCCCTTGTCGTTGCAAAGCAGCGCTTGCTAGACTGTCGGCACTTCCGTTCCAGTCCCTCTTGACGTAAACCAACTCATGATCATTCCATTTCCTCAGGCGATCGAGGGCTTTCCGCTTCAATAGCGTCAGTCCGGGTGCCTTACAATCGATCTCACCCCGTACTTGTCGGATCACTAGGTTAGAATCCCCGCAGATCACTAGACGTCTGCGATCTAAACCCTCCAGCATGTTGAGGCCCAAGATTAAGCCGTTGTACTCCGCTTCGTTCACGGTGAGGTTCTCGAGATAACCTGATCTGGCCTTGACCACCTCCCATCCGGAAAGACTCCACACAATCGCGCTGAAAGCACCCCCACCACGCCTGACCCGGGCGGATCCGTGAAAACTGATCACCCATAGTTCCTCATCTCGATCTACGGTGGGTATTG